TTTTTAGTGTTGTTTTTTTTTTTGAAATATATATCAGGGACACTACCCCTTTGTGAAATGTTGCAATTATCGTTTTCTAGTTTGTCATTCAATTATTTTTTGATTTCCCTTTAAAAATAGTCATTTTTCTTTTATTTTACTGGATTTTAAGTCATAATTCAAAGTTTTCCATATTCACCATTATAAAGGGAAATTTTAGCCCATATTTTCTTCTAATATTTAAAGTTCTGCCTGGCCAGTGTTACTCAGTGGTTAAGCATCGACTTATGAACCAGGAGGTCATGGTTCGATTCCCGGTCAGGGCACATGCCCGGGTTATGGGCTCGGTCCCCAGTGTGGGGTGTGCAGGAGGCAGCCGATCAATGATTCTCTCTCATCATTGATGTTTCTATCTCTCTCACCTTCTCCCTTCCTCTCTGGAATCAATAAAAAAAATTTTTAAAAAAGAGAGAAAAGAAAGAGAAAGAGAACCAAGTCCAGGCCTGGACACCTGATGAGGGCCAGGCACTTCCCCAGGTGGGCCTGTGCTCCAAGTCACCGCACCCCCTTCCCATGGGCTCCTGGGTTTTGACGGTTTTCCCAGTTTGATGATGCCTGGCTTGTGATGTCTGTGACATTTTAAACAAAATATGGAGCCTGATATGTGGGGCCAGGAGGTAGGTGCCAAGAGAAGGGCCCCGGGGGCCAGGGCCCCAGCCCCGCCGCCTGCTGCACCTCCCCGCCCCGGCCTGGCCGTCGGTACCTAGCCGGCCGCACTCCTCGCGCTTGGTGAAGTACTTGAACCCGTTGGCTGCCCGCCGCTCAGCTTTCTCATGCTTCTTTATGTGCCACGGCAGCTTGGTGGTGATGTTGGTCACAAAGTAGCAGCCGGTCCGGAGGCAGTGGTAGTGGCCGCGCATCCGGAACTCGCAGTGCTGCAGGAAGGGAGAGGAGGGCCGGGGCCAGGGGGGCAAACTGTGAGTCCCACCTGCCCAGGCCTGTGGGCGGCGGCAGGCCCCTGGCCTTCGTGTTCTTCCGTGCTCAGAATCCGAAAACACAATCGGGTAAGGACCTTTCACTCGCTAAAAGATAGTCCGCCCCTTTTTGCCATTTGACTAAAACAGTGACGGCGAACCTTTTGAGCTCGGCGTGTCAGCATTTTGAAAAACCCTAACTTAACTCTGGGGCCATGTCACACAGAAATTTTTGGATATTTGCAACCATAGTAAAACAAAGACTTATATTTTTGATATTTATTGTATATATTTAAATGCCATTTAACAAAGAAAAATCAACCAAAAAAATGAGTTCGCGTGTCACCTCTGACACGTGTGTCATAGGTTCGCTGTCACTGGGCTAAAACATCCTGCCTGGTATTGAGGGCATCCTTCTCTAGACCCACACCCAGAGCAGACATCACTAATCTATCCTGGCACTCTTCTCTGTATGCCCAGACCAAGGCAGACATCACTAATTTATCCTCGCACTTCCCCGTACCCAGATCTAGGTCCGGATTCCTCCAGCGGTTCACCAGGAATCTGACCTGCCCTTCCTGTCCGGGCACAGACAGCCAATCTCTTTACGTGTCCAAGGCGCCTATTTTAAATCTAGGCCTTTGGGGAAAGGGAGCCTCGCTAGTTCCAGGAGGCGGAATGATGCCAAGGTCACCGTGGCTGCCCAGGATAGAGTCACCCCTGAGGCTTAGGCTGAAATGACTGACTTCACCAACTAGCACCAATCGGAACCCCTGGCCAGGGCCGCCAGGGCCCAGGGGCAGACAGTGTCCTTTCCAGAATCTGAAGGAGGCCAATTCAAAGAGGGCGTGAGGAACAGCCTCTGCCTGGACGGGTTGTCCTGGGGCCGGACCCTCCCCGCAACCTCCCTGCCCCGCCCCGCCCCGCCTCCCCCTCCACTGCTGACCTGGTTGGGACAGAGACACTGCAGGGAGTAGTAAGCGAACTGGTCTCGCACGTTCACCAGGTTGTTGTTGGGGTTGATGTGGTCCAGGCAGTGGGACTCGGCCTTGCCCGAGGTCTTGCAGACGTACTTGCAGTTCCCAAAGAGACAGTGGAAGTGGAACTTGTTGGCATACTTGCAGTCCGTCGCCAGGCAAGGATCGCTGGAACGAAACCACAGCCCAGAAGGTCATTGGCATTCCCGGTGCCCGCCCCGCTGGTGTCCTGCCACTTGCCCATGTTGGGGTTCTGCTCCCCAGTCCCTGGTGGTGCAATCAAGAGGAATGGCCCCTGGGCTGCCCTCCTGCTCAACAGGATGATTCAGTCTGTGGAGACTACAGATCCCAGCATGCATTCTTGCCTTCTTTTTGGAGCTCTGAAGGTGCATAAGGGATCACAGTGTGCAGACTGCCCAGAGCATTGCATGCTGGGACTTGTAGTTTCCACGGCCACACCTCGGGATCACAGATAAGGATGTCTGCTATGACTTCTTGGATATGAAAATGAGGGATGGTGCTGCCAGCCCTGGCAGGATGCCAGTGAGGCCTGGCTGTCATGGCACAGGCAAGGCCCTGGATGTGGCTGACTGACAGGGTGCAGATGGGCGGGTAGCCCTACCAGGAAGTGTGGCTACCACGGGGCCTTGGCCAGTGGGAATGGGCACCTGAGGTCAGGTCCTGCTGAGGTTCGTACTTGCTAGGACTCCCAGGTCAGCTGGGGGCATGGGGCACCCATCTGCTCACAGAACCTAAGCCAGCCGAGTGACGGGGCTGGCAGGGGCGGGAGGAATGCTGGGTGGAACCCCCATAGCTGGCCTGCCCTGGGAGTGGCAGCCCCTGCCCCAGAGCTGGGGGTCCTGGGCTGCAGACAGGCATGGAGGGTGCTGCACTCCGGCCTCTGCCCTGGCTGCAACTCGGCTCCCCCCACATCGGCCCGGTGGGAACTCTGACCAAGTCTGGAAAACTTTGGGGGCTGCCGCTGTGGGGAGGTGAGTGGGGGAAGGGAAGCTGGGGAGAGACGGAGGGGAGTGCAGGTCCCCTCCAGGCTGTGGGCCCAGCCCCGGTGCCCAGAGAGGGAGGACAGCTGCCACTCAGGCGGTGTATGTTCACATCCAATTTATTACTTTTATTGAGAACAGGAAGCCGCACACATCATGATACAGAGTCACCGTTCTCGCCGCAAGTAGCCACCACCATCCAGTGAGGAGGTCCCTTCCCCCCCTGGAGCTCAGACCCTGTGTCGGTAGCCGTGGGCCTGGAGCGGGGCCCAGCCCTCACCCCCCGGGACCCAGGGCTTCACTTGCCCGCCAGGGCTCAGCCAGGCCACGAGCCGCCGAGGAGCCCACCGGTGGCCCGGCGGGAGGGCGGCCTTCCCCGGGGGCAGGCCCGCCACTCCGGCCCCCTGCGTCGGTCCTTGCAGGGTCACCACTGGCCTCTGGAACAGCGGCCACCACCACCACCATCTCCCCCACCCTGGCCACCTGCTCTGGGCACAGGAAGTGGGTCAGAGCAGCAGCATCTTTGGCTAGAAGGACATTGCCTGATGACCGGGTCCCAGAGAGGCCGGGGACGGCCAGGGCTAGCTGCAGGCCGGGTGGCAGCGCCCTCGGCGGTCCTTGCCAGCACCTACTCCCGAGACACGCGGGGGACACAGGACTCCCGGGTCATCGAGGGACTCACTTCTCCTGGAACTGGAGGAATCCGGGTTTGACCTGGGGCTTGGCGTTTTCTAGAGAAGTCGTTGCCAAGGGCGAAGTGGGCAGGTGAGGCACTGACGTTGGAATCTGAGGCATCTGGGGTATGGTGGAAGCCAGCTGCTTCCAGGCGAGCAGGGTGGGGGCGGAGGGCACCGCGGCCAGGCTGGGAGTGGGTCCCTCCAGAGAGGACACCGTGGCGGTGGTGACGGGCGGCGCCGGCGGGGAAGAGGGGGCCAAGGAAGGTTTGGTCTCAGCAGCCGAGGCCGGGAAGGAGGTCTCCGCATTGCCTTTCGCGGCTCCTCCCTCCGTCCGGAAGTGGAAACTGCAAGAGGCAGAATGGGGGTCTCAGGTGTGCAGTGGGCCACCCCCCCTGGGCAGGTCAGCCCTCCCCTGCTGGGCGGGCCTGCCTGTCTCAGAAGCCCAGGGCCCAGTGTCCCCATGTCGCCCCCAGTGCCAGTCGCCGCCAGCAGGGAAGGGCTGAGTGGAAGCTGTGCCCTCCAGTCCTGAACTCTGGCTTCTGGCTCAGTCCTAGCACACCTTCCTGCCGTGACCTCTGTCCCTGCTCCTCCCCACACGGAGGGGGCTGGTGGACAGCAAGCCCTGGCCTCATGAAGCCCATCCCTCCAGAACCTGCTCTGAAATTTAAAGGTGGGTCTTGGTATTTAGTCGGCTCCTCTGCAGACTAGCAGCTGGGGCTGCGTAGCAGTGAGCCTGATCCGGCGCAGGGAGCAGGGACGAGCTGTTTGAAATGACTGTAAGTTCTGGGTTCAATTACAACAGGCGCCGGGCTTGCCGCTTTTCAGCTCAATGGGTTTCACAAATTAACTTCTTTATTTTTAGGTCAAAGAGAATCGACAAATGCAATGTTTGGGCTTGGAAAGGCCTTCTCCGGGGGTCCCTGCCCGGTCAGAGCTGGATCTCTGCAGCTGGCTCTGCAGGCAGCGCCTGGGGTGGGGCTGGGGCTGCCCTGGGCCTGGTGAGCTGGGAGGACAGGCTGGGCTGGACATGGGAAGCATGGGGAAGCCTGCATCTGAGAAGAAGCCAGCCCAGCGTCTGGGGTCTGGTGGGAAATGGACATGGGTCCTCCAGCCACATGGGGCCCCGAGCTGAGCGTGGATAAATACATGGGGCTGGGTTTAAACGGGCCCCTTCCGGGGACCCCAACTCACTTGGCATGCTTGATGGCCCCGTCCAGGGTGCTGAAAAGCGCGCCGCACTCCTCCACCACGCAGTGGAAGTGGGCCTTGTGAAGGAAGTCACACTGGGCGTCGCAGAAGTCCTTGGTACCGAACCTGGCCAGGGGAGCCGGCTGGTTAGAGGAGACCCTGGCGCTCCGGGGAGGCCAGGTGTGCCGTGTGGCTGGGTGCCGGCCACCAGGACAGGTGGCCTGGCCTCTCCCTCCCCCTGGCTCTCCCCGCTGGCCCCTCACCTGCGAAGGTACAACTTCCAGGGCTCTGGCAGCTTCTCCTGAACCAGCGCCTTCGCGGCCTTGCCCAGGAAGGGCAAGGCCTCCACGTTAGGACTCCCCTCTGCTTCCGTCTTGATGTTCAACAGGCTGCCGAGGTTGGGGTTGCCCTGAGACATCTGTGGGGAGGACAGGTTGCCATGCTTGGGGCTGGGGGGCCTCAGGACCCAGACCCGCTGCCCTGGGAGTGGCAGTAGCTCTGGACCCCTTGGGCCTCTCACGCCGACCAGAGCCGGCAGTGCTGTGAAGAGCCCTGTCTGAATGGACGCTGCCCGGCCCGGCCCTCGGGGAGGCCAGAGCTCCCGCACACCCTCCGTGCTGCTGGGCCCCGGGCGGGCACACGCTCCAGCCCAGCTTTCCCCAGACTCCGCGGCTCCCTCGCTATTTTCCTGCCAGGTTTTCAAAAGAAGTGCAAGAGGAGGAGGGGTGGGGGACCCCCTACGAATTTCTTGAGAACAAGAGAAGGCACACAAAGGAGGAGCAGCGAGGAGGGAGGGGGCTCCCGGGGTCAGATGGAGACAGCTGGATGCTGCTGGGCGAGGAGGGGGAGGGCACGCGTGTGCGCACGCAAAGGCTTGCCGGTTGCCGGAGGCTCCGACAGGAAGGGACGAGGGGGTGCAGGGGGCAGTGACCTAAGGAGGAAAGAGAAGAGCACAGAGCCACCCGGAGAGGGAGGGAAGGAAGAGGCAGCAGGTGCTGGGCAGGGGGCAGAGGGCAGGGGGCAGAGGGCAGAGGAAAGCGGGAGGCTCCTTCCCGGCCAAGCGCCCAGCCAGGGCTCCCACCCGTGAGGTCTGGCCGAGGCCCGGCTCCCTCAACAGTCACTTGTGTACAGTAACCAAATTAATCTTGCTGTAGTCAAATTTATCACGTGAAGGGGGAGAATGTATTTGAGATGATGTATAATTTACAAAGACCCTGCATTATTTAAAATAAATATTCCAAGCGACCTCTGCGAAGGCGTCCGGGACCATCACTCAGCCCGAAAAGTGGGGGTTGACGCTTTGCTCCCACTTGGGCCCCCCTCCCCCACCCTTTCTTAAACAAACAAAACAAAATATATAAAATAAATAAGTGAAATGAATAACTAACAGCGGGGGAAGTTGGAGGGCTCCGGAAAAGCTTTAGGAGCCCTCCATCTGAAGGGGAGAAAGGGGTGTTGGAGGCTGGGATATATTTCTTCAGCCAGTTCATTAAATTAATTTGTAAGCAGTGGCTCTGAAATTATATCCGATGAAAAATGGCCTCAAAATTTAAATGGTACAAACTCATCTTATTAGAGGCAAAACATTAAAAAACAAACACATCCCCCCCACCCCCCAGCGCGGCTTTAATTTCTCCGGGCGGGGGGACGGGAGGCGTGTGATGGATGGTTCTTACCTTATTCATAAGCGAGGATAAAAGAGATGAATTTCCCGGGACTGCGTGGCCATTTGATTCATTACTGGAACACACAAACCAAGGGGCTTTAGCTCAGACGGACGTGGGACCGAGCCCGGAGCCTCGTCCCTCCCAGCCCGGCCCGGCCCGGCCCTGGGGCTCCGGCCAGCGGCTGCACCTGCCAGGAGGGAGCGGACCCCCCGCCAGGGGAGCAGAGCAGGGAGGCCCGGCCTCGCCTCACCTGGGCTCCTTCACAGTCAGGTCTACACTGCGGTCCTGGGAGGCCTCGTGGGAACCTGGGGCACCAGCGTTCTCACCAGGCTCCTGCGTCACCGGGGCCGGGGGGAACCTGGCGGGGGAGGCCTGCTGCCCGTTTCCTACAGGGGAGGGGAGGGAAGACGGTGTTAGAGGGGTTGAGGGCTGCCTGTGGGCGCCTGCCGGAACCCCCCGGAGGGCAGGCAGCGTGCCGGGTGGGCTGGGGCCCCCGGGAGCCCCGGCTGCCGGTCAGCGGTTCTCCCCGCTGACGTGATCGCCGGCGACGCATACCCCTGTGTGGCAATTCTTCAAGTGATAATTATTGCAAAATTATGTCAAAGTTGTCCAGGCTCAGGGCCTCCTGGATGAGCAGGGCGGGAGGCTGGGGAGGGGGCCGGGACGGGCGTGGGGGCCCTTCATTTTCTCCACCGACTGTCACAGCCAATTTGTGGGGCTGCCGCTTAGGCTTTTATTAAAGACTCCGTTAACGCTGAGGGGAAGTGGCAGGTCTAGACTGGGAGCGGCGCCCCCTCCGCGGGTCCCCTTCCCACTGTTGCCGGGGCGACGGCCCTGCCTTGCACTGAGCATGCCTAGGAGGGGCATCTGCCGGGTCAGGGCGATGGGAGCTGACAGCCAATCAGGGCGGTTCAAACTCTGTGACCTCGCCCGTCAAGCTGTCCTGGACGGAGATGAGGCTGGGCGGCCCCGGTCGGCGGGAGCCGTGGGGCGTGGACGTGGCCGGGCGGGCAGAGGATGCGGGAGGCCACGCCGAGAAGGGGCACAGGAAGCCGCTGACAGGCACATGTCCTCCGAGCCTTACTCCATCGTCCCCCAGTGACTGAAATATTAATCTGCCCCCGGGCGCTGCAGCTGACAGAGAGCTGCTTCAGACAGCAAGTGGCATTTTATTAAAAAGTAAGGCAAGTGAGCCCTCTCCTCTTGGCCTGACCTTTCTTTGGGGGAAAGGAGATTTTTCTATCGAAACGGAAGCACTTGACAGTCTGGCCGCTGAGCCAGTGTGGCCTTGCAGGAGGGGGGCCCACCCCGGCTCGCTCACAGGCTCCGGGCAGAGGGGCGTGGCCCAGGCAGTCCCGCCACGTCCCTCCCGGGAATGGCAGGTGAGTCACTCCAAGCTGCCGGCTGACAGGAGCATCCCGTTGGGGATGTGATAGTTTTCAGAACTCAGGATGTCCACATTC